TAAAATAATAATATTAAAGTTTTTGTTTTTTTTACAAAATATAAAAGCAATTTTTTAAATATTATTAGAATTTATTTTAACTTATCAAAATTTATTGATTAAGTTAACAAAAATTATTTTGTTTTACTAAATATATTTATTATTTTGTTAATTTATAATAAAAATAAATTTTTTTTGTAAAATTATTAATTTTTTAATAGTTAATATAGAATTATTTTTTTTAATATTATAATAATAAATAAGATTTAGAAACTAATTAAAGATTAAATTATATTTATATTTATTATTTATTAAATTTTTTTAAAAATAAATTATTAATTAGATAATATTTTAAAATAAGCTTTTTGTTAAATTAGTTATTTCTCTTTAATATTAAATTTTGTTAATTCTTTTAAGTTTAGAATTTAATATAAAGATATTTTAAAATTAGTTTATAATTTTTGTTTTATTTTATAATTATATTATTAACTAGTTTATTATCTTTTTCTTAATTTAAAAAATATATATTTTCATATTTTATTATTAATAAATTCAAATTTATTGATTTGTAACTAGTCTTTCTATTAGTATTTTTATAATTAAATTGTATTAAACTTTTATTTAAATTCAATTTGGTTCAAAATTCAAATTGAATTCAAATCAAATTTTAATTTGAGTTCAACAAAGATTCAAAGTTGAATTAGACTCAAACTAAATTATTATACAAGTTTGAATCTAATTTAAGTTTGATTTAAAATTAATATATAATATTATATATTAATTTATAACTCTAAATATGAGTTATAACTTTATTTATAAATATAATTTATAATATTTAATAAAAATTAAAAGTTTACATAGTGATAACTAAAGTATTAATTATAAATATTATGTAATTTCTTGAATAATTATTATTAATATTAATTATTTTATGCCAATTTATAATTCTTATTTTGATTATAACTTTATTATAATTATAATTTACTATAATAAAATAAATATTTATTATATCATAACTAAAACAGATTAAAATTATAATAATTAAAAATTTTTTTAAATTTATATAATTTTTTAAATATTTATTCATCAAATATTAATTATTTTATATTAATTTATAATTCAAATTAAAATTTTAACTTTATTTAGAACTTTATTAAATATTTATTTTAACTCAAATCAGACTTTTAATTAAATTTAAATTGGATTTAAAATTTAAATCAAACTTAAACTAAATTTTTAATTAAATTCAAATTTTTGAACCAAACTTGTGATTAAATTTGAGTTTAGTTCAAGCTCAAACTGAATTAGATTCAAATTAAATCAAATTTTTTTTCAGAATTCTGGTTTCTATAAATTAAACTTGACTTTTATTTAAATTAAGAATGCTTACTGAAACTTCTTAGTAGTTGTTTAAATAATAATAAATTATTAATAAATAGTATATTGAAATTCTGTCAAATTTTGAAACTTGTTAAAATTGAAATTTTGCCAAAATTTTAATTAATAATTAGTATATAATTTGTTAAAATTTTACTAAAATATTTTTAAAGAAATTTTGACAAGTATATTTAGTTTAAATTTGAATTTGATTCAAAATCCAAACTAAATTTTGACTTGGTTCAAAAAAGATTTAAAGTTTGAACCGGACTTGAACTAAATTATTATATAGGTTTGAATTTGATTTGAGTTTGATTAAAGCTTAATATATACTATTATATATTGATTTATAGTTCTAAATATAAACTATAACTTTAATTATAAGTACAAATTATAGTATTTAATAAAGATAATCTCCTAAATTATTTTTGAAAAAAATGATATTTCAGCAAATAATTCAATTTTGTTATATTGCTTATATTAATAAATATTTAAAAATCATTTAAAAATACTTATTTTGATTTGTAAAATTCAAATAATTTTGAAAAACAATTTCAGTTACTAATAAAATAAGTTAAAATAATTTCAAATTTAATTTCAGCAAGTTAATTTCAGCAAATTATTTATTTAGATGATGTCATTTCAGTAATTATTCTTAGTATTTAATAAGAATTAAAAATTTACTTAGTAACAACTAAAATATTTGCATTTTTATATTTATTAAATTTTATTAATATTAATTATTTTATATAATTTATTTAGAAATAATAGTTAATTAATATTTAAAAATCACAAAAAATATTTATTTCTCTAAAATTTTTATGATAATTATAAATTGATTATTTAAATGTTTTTTTATAATACTTTAAATTAGTTTTTAATAAAGTTTTTGAGATATTAAAGATTAAATCAGTTTTTGTTTATTAAAAAAATTATTTTACAATCTATATTTAACTAATTCCAAAAAATTAGTATAAATACTAATTATTTCTTAAAATATTTAAAAAAAATAAAAAAATTAATTTTTTTTGGAAATTGTTAATAAATAAATTATTATATTAATATTAAAAAACTAAAAAAAAAATTATATTAAATATTACTATTTTTATAGTAAAAAATAATTAGTTTTATTTATTTTTATTTTTTATATTAAATCTTATAGCTCAATAAGAAAAAATTATACAAAAAACTAACTTAATCAAATAATAGCTATTTGATCTAATTATAATTTGATTAATAAAAAATATTTGACTTTTATTTAAGTCATAAATTATAACTCTTTAAAATTCTCTAATTTTATAAAATTGATTATCTTGAAAATTAATTATTAATTAATCAAAATTAATTATTAATTAATCAAAATTAATTATAGTAATAACTAGCTAATAATTTTATTAGTTAATTAAATTAATTTTTTAGAAATTAACTTAGATTATCAAATTTTTTTCTTAAAATATTTAATATTAAATAGTATTAGTTATATTATATATAATATTAAATAATATTGGTTGTATTATATATAATATTAAATATCAAAATTTGTTATATATATACTTGAATTAATATAACTTGCTATTTCTTATTATAGAATATAAGATTTTACTTGTATATATTATAAAAACAAAATTTTAAATTAAATTATTATGTAAAAAAAAATTATAATAAAAAAATTGCTGGCCATTACTTTTTGAAGAGATCATATATTTAAATTATTACAAAATATATTTAAATAATAATATTAAGATACTTCAAACTAAATTATTTTCCATAAAATTATAAAAAATTTAAATAAAATTTCAAATATGATATTTTAATATTTAATAATTGAACTTAATATCATTTACAAAGAAATTAAATAATATTAACTAGTATTGTCTTTTAAAACTCAAAAAAAAATTAGAATTAAAATTTTAAAACTAATTTAATTGGTGCTTTTAAAACTTTAAAAATGACCTGTTAAAGTTAGAAAGACAATATTTAATATCAAAATTATTCAAATTCAATTATTAAATATTGAGATATTTGTAATAAATTTTTTTGAAATACAATTATGGGTGAGTCTGTTTGTTGCTGTAATGATTAATCAATCAAATCATTTTTTTTAAAAAAATAATCTGTATGTATCTCGAATTTTTGTCTCTGAAACTGTTTTTTTTATATTCTAACAAAAAAATATTTATTACAAACTTATTATATGCTCTTTATTCTATATATAACCCTAACCCAACTCTAATCGTAACTCTACACGTGACCAGTAACTCATCAGCGACGACAAATACATCTTCTTTATAATTTTAATGGAAAAAGAATATGAAAAATTTTCAAGACTATGTTTAATATCAATTATAAAACTTCAAACTAAAAATTTGTATAGAATGAATTTTAAAAAACAAGATTTAAATATATAAAATAAAAAAATATTAAAACACACTGAAAGAGTTTTATTAAATGGGATGGAATCAATAGAAAAGAGACAAATTACTCCAGTAATTTGTCTCTTTTCTACTGATACCACCCCAAATATTATTTCATACCTATCTAAGTTTTTTTTTAATGAAAGTAAGCTATTTGTGATAATAAATTATAAATAAAATAATTAAACTATTTAATTACAAATTAATTATTCTTTACCAAATTCTATTAATAAATCATTATTCTTGAAATAAAATATACCTTCTCCTCTTTACTTTTTTTAGTCAATAATTTTAATAACAAGTTGATACTTCTTGTAATATTAAAAATCTTGTTCCAATAATAATTAAATATAACGATAAATTAAATTTACCGTATTAAATTATATACGTAGTGATTTTTTAAAATGAAAATGCTATACTAAAGTGAATTGTTCTTTTTTGTCATCGTTTAGCTAAAAGCACAGATGTCAATTTGAAATCCATCTGTGCACTCTTAAAGTGAGAATGAAAGCATCACGATATATTATAGCCATCTATTCATCGATTTATCAATCATTAACGTTAATATATATGTGTATTCGGAATGATTTTGAATCTACGGAATCCACGATATCCACGTACACCTTGTAAAAACGCGATTACGTAACTCGTTAACCGATGATTTTAAAGTGAATAATTTTTGGATTTTTTACCTTTCTTCTTTCAAGAAAGCAAACAAAAAGTTAGACATGTAAATGGGTGCTATGATCGAAATCTATTTATGACACCCCGCCACGGAGATACACTGTAAGCTCATTTTTTGTAGTAACGGTAACGGTAGACCCGTAACTGTACAGCCACGTGTGGGTACCTTTTCTTTTAATAACAATAATAAGAATAAATAAATAAATAAATAAAACAATAGACTACAGCATCCGAGCCACACACATATACTAATCAAACCTAAAAATATATGTATAAGTTAAATTTACAAAGAGAGAAGTGTAAAGAGTTGAATATGTATATGTATAATATAATATATAATATAGACGAACTAAATAATGTTTGTTCGTTTTTATGGATTTTTTAAAATTAAAATCGGTCGTTTTTTTTTTACGGATGTTGATTGTGCATTTAATCCAGAGTTTATCATATCGTTCGCCTATTGCTAGAATTTCCAAAAATCAAAATTTTTGAAACGGTAGAATGAATTCAATAACCAAACATCAAAGCAAATTGCATTTTTTAGTTCTAGTGATCAAACCACCCAGCTTGCCTTCTATCTACAAATCCACCATTAACAGCAACCCAAATAACAATCATTATCAGGGCCAATCCATAGCTCAGCGTATAATACTGTGGGACCAAACGACGACCCTTACTAAACAACTGACCAGATTTCAGCATAAATGCTAATAACGGGACTCCGAGCGCCAACACGTAGATCAGACCGACCAGTGTGCCTTTAGGGAACTCGATTGCCACGCTGGTCAATAGAACCGCGTAGAAAAACGAGCCGAGAAAGAATGCGATGAAGCTTATGACGTTACTGATTTCGTCATGTCTTTGACGTCTGTAAGCAAGCAAGTGTGCCCAAGTTATGATTGCTGCTCCTGTTGCATAAATATAATACCCAGCCTATTGTGTTGTTTGGAGAATAATCGAGTTAATAACGAGAATAGTGGTTTATTTCATGTGTGCATGCAATATGTAATGCATATCGATATGTAATGTATGCATAGCATATCTATATCGATACATGTATGTAATGTATGCGTAAACACACCACATGCTCCAAGTCTGTTTCCATATACTCCAAAGTGGAATTAATAGCAGGAAATTGAGATGTAATATTTGGGTTTTCAGTAATAAGGTCTTGGATTTTATCTTTGGCTATGATTGCTGTTGAATGCATTCCAGCACCTATTATCAAAAAGATTGTGTTTAGCTACCAGATATATTTTATGAGCCATGAAAGACGACAACGACTAATAGTAATGCTAAATATACCTTGTGCGTAAAGCGCAGCACCAATTGTAAACAAGAAACTACAAAATCCTTTTTCTGTTATAGTGAACACTTTTTATGGAAAACAGAACGGTATAATTTAATAACGATAATGACGATTTGGGCAGCAAATCCAACAATGATATTTACAAAATTTTCGTTCATGTTCTGAATAGTCAACAAATACTTCAGCTGATACCAATATAAAGAAGTTTAAAGGTATTCCAATTAATGGTTCAATAAAACCTATATATTTATATATCAATGTTAATAGCACATTCAAATAATGCTTGACATTCAAAATTGGACACAAAATCTTACGATAAATATCGGCGCCAACACCATGAAGCTCTACAATTGCCGGCAAGATCATAAATAACAACGCCATTACCGGTGCAGCAAATAACAGCCAGATAATACGATTATCATGATTCTTATCCAAAAGATGTAATTTTCCTGACGAAGCTGCTCCAAGGAAAATTGATTGTTCGCCTTTACCCGAGAAGCGACGACTGGAATGATTACCATTATATGTTGGTGAATTAGACATTTCTTTGCCGCGCGTTGTTAATCTTATAATTATTGTTTATTATTTTTATTATTCAATCAATAGATTAAGATGGATATTTATAAAGATAGACGTTTATGTTAACATTAAAGTCATAATATTAATTATGACTTTGACGTTAAAAGATCGTCGTAGGTATAAGAATGTTTTTGGATTGACCAAAAGAAGCGCGCGCGAAACTCTTCTCATTGGTCTTTTATAGTTTTTTAAAATGATAAACTATTCATTATCTGTATAAATGGCTTATCTCTTCTATAAACAAGAAAAAAACCAGAAAACGTGGAAAAAAATATACAGCTATTATCGTTATACATATAGTTTATAGTAGCTAAATATAAAGAGGCTGGGGTACGTGTCACTTTATATGAGAGACTTAAATGACACAGCCAAAAAAAACTACGTAGAGACATGATCGCCAATGGAATAATGAACACAAAATCATCATCTATGGGGGGCTTATTGTAATAATACGTATAAATAATGTAACAATCACTTATCTATCGCTATATTTAGATTCATTAGTATTAGAGATATATGTACACACTTTAAACTTTTATTTCTTTACAGAATTCGTATTTTTTTCTAGTGCACAGTATGATAAAAAGGTGAAAACAAAGGTTATTTTTTTAGTTACGTAGTTTGTGTATCAGTCAGTTCAGTTTCTAAAAAAAATTGAATCAAGCTTTCTGTGATTATTTTGATCATTGACTGGTTGAATACAAGAATGAATAAAATATTATTAATAGTTCAATATCCATTTAAGCTTCTATTCAGAAAAACAATTTTTTTTGAAGAAAGTAGAATTCAGTAAACTATAACAAGTTACAATATATATGTTGTTGTATAAATAAAGAAGTTGCACACAAACAAACCAAATCTATTCTATATCGATATTTATCTAATTAACGTTAAATTAATTTCTTTTTTTCTTATATAAAATAGTAATTATAAGTATATCGATATGCGCGCGTTATATATAACGACTTATGCGGGAAATCGACTTTTCCACAAAAAAAATTTCTACAGCTTAGCATCCAATACTAGAGGTTCATTTGAATTGATTAACGCAATTTTATCATGTTAACGAGATGTTCTAGAATATTGAGTAAACTCGAATTTATGAATTTGCTTCTTGGATACCAGTACAGTGAATCGCGTAAATCGATTACGATAAGAAAATAAAGATAATTTTTTTTTGCTAAACTTTATCCAATTTGCATAAAAATAAACTATCCAAGACTTAAGAAACATACTCTTAAAGCCACCTTGGCGGGGTTTTTATTAAACTAATTTGAAAATCCAGTTATCATCGTTAAATCTCATCAGCATGTACGTATTATGGTTATCGTTGTAACGATAAGAATTTTTTTTATTGCATACCGAATCGAATTCTCATTATGTATCAAAACCTTTGACTAATATGACAGTGCAAGAATGTTTTCGAAAACTTGTAATTTCAATTTTAGTATTTTTATATAGTTTAATTACTATCTGTGGAATAGAAATTACATTGGATAACGCACAACAACTCTGCATAAAAACCCACAAATTTAGATCATTTAGAAGCCTTAAGGGTTGAGATTTATATTTAGCGAATGCATGAATTTGAAGCATGTAAACAAATTTATAATTTTCTGAATTTTCTTTCGAATTTCAAAATTGATTTTTCTCTTAAGTTGCAACAGCGTTTACATTAATTGACAATATATGATTAGTTTTCAAATCAATTATATCTAATACTAATTTTTTATATGATTAAAAATTATGTTATATAATAAAATAAGCTAAAAGTTATAATTATCAATTCAGGGTTGAAAGTATAGTTGTTATCATATTAAATGACTTTGACGTCCATATACATGTAGTATTGGCCCATGGTGTGATTACGTATATGGATGTATGACTGCATTATTTAAAAATATTATTCTTATGCAACTCATATAGAATTTTCTTTCAAATTATCATAGAATTTAACTCTTAGTCTTTTTTCTACTTTATTTAAGAATTCATTCATAGTTTAATGCCAGCTTACATAATTGGATATATGAGAAGCGAATATAGTTGAAGGGTTGGTGTCTTAAATGAATTCTTTTATACATTGTTTTCTTTTTTTTTGAGCAGGACATCAATCAAATATACTTTTTTAAAAGAAGTCTATTTGTTCAAAGCTTAACGTTACTTTGTATTAAAGATAATTTATAATTCTATTTTTTAGCGAGTAAAACAAACAATATAACTAATTTATTTAATTCATGATCCAGTGAATAATCAGCAATAGTTTTTACGATTCTTGAATTTGTTGTTGAAAGATTTTTATATTGGCTGGACAACTGGACCTATAAAAAACTGCGCCAACCAGACCACTGGACCTATATACATGTACGTAGATTGACAACTCTGGTTAGGCCTGATCTATATCAATATCAATTCGAGAATCAACATCAAATTTTGAATTATCGTCGTTATCACTCTGTACATAGTGCTCTGTGCTCCTAGTTTGTGTTTTTTGTACACGATCTCGTGACAAAAATGACAAGAAATTGTGCTATTAACCATTTAAACACCGCACATATCATTATTGTCTTGGCATTAACTTCAAATCAAATATCGATTATTCAAAATGTCCTTGCCATGTAACGGAAACGAAAAATTAATAATTTTTTACGGTCTTGAAGAATTTACAAATAAAGAAATAGTTGGCAGAGGCGCGTTTGGCGAAGTGTCGAAAGCAGACGTGTTAAATAGCGATTTGACGGTTGCATTAAAAAGATTCTGGATAACAAATGAAAAGTCTAAGGAAAAAATAAATAAGGAATTCATCAAAGAGGTAATTATGCAAATGGACAATGTAAGCTTGGTTTTTGTTATCGAGATGGAATCGAAACACAAAAAGATGAGGAGAAAGCATTCGGGTGGTATTTGAAATCAGCAGAGGGTGGTGATGCACGAGGACAATGTGATCTTGGCTTCTGTTATGGACATGGAATCGGAATACAAAAAGATGCGAAAAAACATTCGAGTGGTATTTGAAATTAGAAAAGGATGGAAATGCTAATTCCTCAGCTCTACCTTCGATCAACGATGCTTTATTGATTAAAGCTGATGAAATCGATATTGATATATCAAACATATTTGCATACTTTTATGTACTCAATGATATGAATATCGATATTAATCTCTAATAAAATAAACTTCCAACCACGACACCATTACAAACTTTAATATAGATTTAACAATCCCTCACCGCTACAGCAATTATTAGTAACCATATTGGATAAATTGGCGTAATAATAACAATGACACTAAGATATTTTACCAACCCATTGTCCTCTTATCATTCAACTTTCTTTTTCCCTCAACTGATCAATTTCTTGTAAATAAGATTTAATTTTGCGAGTTTCGTTTATTTTGTCAGTTCTGCCTGTTCTTTTTGTTTGTTTGGTTCGTTTTTTCGTTCTGTTTAGTTTTCTTTATCTGATATCTATTTAATAAAATTTCAATGATGCTTGATGCAAATGAATTTTCCAAGTTCCCATAACCAATATTTTCATAGCGGTCTTTCTTTCCTTTAGTATCCAAATAATTCAATTATTATGAATTTTTAACCACCTTAATTTGAAGTCTGTTTGGTGAATCAATAACGTAACTGTAATTGAGTGGACCACCACGTGTCAGTTGTAATGTTTACAAACTTTCCCAAGGCAATTCACCCGCACGTGACTTTTAAATTAACGTTAAAGCTTATTTTATCACTTGGATTAGGGTTAGAGTCAGGACTGGAATCAAGATTATATGTAAAATTTCCTTCCCGACATTTTTTATTTGTGCTTCAAGTCGTATTTTGACGTCAGTTTTCCGTATTTTTCATTTTCCTATGTCGGATTTGTTTGCCGAGTTGATAGCAAATTGAGACATAACTTCGTTATTAAGAAATTTTGTATGTTAATAGTAGGAGTAAATAAAGTTTATAACATTATTAGCAGGTTTTTGTGCGAGACACTCTGTAGTCATCACCAACACCACAACCACTTTTCAGAATTCTTCCGCCTTCGACACAAGCCTATCCCTAAACATCACATGTACACATGTCATCATCAGCTTGCGTACAGTTCAATTGTTAAGGTCTCCTTCCACCTTGCGCAGCTTTCTCTAGATGAAAACGGTGTTGATGGAAGACGTCAAAGACGGAATCTCTGTAACCAAGCTGCGATGCGAGCATTGTGGATTATCTAGATTACCGATACTGGGGTGTATTTTTGAAATAATTTCTTCAATTCATTAATTAATTACAGTCAATCTTGGTTTTTTTGAAAAATTTTTCCAGATAGCAAGTCTTTCAATATTTCTTATATATTTTATTTTTGGTGATGATAATTTTTTTCGTTAAATGCGAATTACATTATATCGCATGTTTCTATAACGAGTAGCAAGTTTTTCAATATACACACCCCTACAATATATTACCGGAAATCTCAAAAATGGATTTGTCACTTTGAAACCCGATATCTTGACATCCGGTAATCCCATTCGAACAAAGATATTACCATTAGATTCGT